TAACAGATAGACAGACAGACAGACAAAAATTCTAAAAACTATAGATTCGGCCTCTGTAACGATAATAATGTTTATTTCAATAAGATTTTCCCAAAAATATTTAATGTACAGATTCAGCTTAGTTACGATTTTATTATATGTATAGATTATACTAAGCGTGTAAAACACAACTCTGAACACTTATTAAACTTGGCCAATCCTAATTAAAAAGAGACATGATGATACAAACATTACAAGCAAGAAAGAGAGAATACAGAGGGGTTGTCGTAACCGCAGGTTATTACAGATTTAACACGTATTTAGTTAATTAGTAAGTGCGGTTGACCGGTGCGGTTTGACTGGTCGAGCTCTTATACTTTAGGGATTTGTAAATATGATTTTTGGCAAGTTGAACAAATTGAATAAAACATTCATTTATATAACACATTAAAATTATTAAAATGTTTACAATTAATAAATATTGTAAGGTAGGTACTTCGGTGCCATTTGTCTAATTCCTCCAAATTATTGTATGTATAATTTAGTGCGTAGATACCATTTGTCACAACTACTATATAATATACATATATTATAACTTTCAAGGCATCTAAAATCTTAGTCTCTCCCGTGACCGTGTTTGCTGTAAAGCATTCAAAACGTTGGTATCAAATTATAAAATAAAACAGATTTTTTTAGAAAGAAGAGATTTGCGAAAATTCAGAATCTAAACGTGTTTAAATTTAAAAGTGATATCCTAGCGAGTAGGTTAAATGCAAATCTTGACTGGCAGTGTTTTCTGTTCCGAAAATCGTTGAATCTATTCCAGTATTATTTAACTTTAGTCTTTAACTGTCTTACACTTAGTTATTTGATTGATATGAAGGCGTAAAGTGAAAATCTATATATATAAAAGAAAGTCGTGTTAGTTACTTCGCTTATAACTCAAGAACGGCTGAAAATTGGCAGGGAGGTAGTTTAGAGCCAGGAGAAGGACATAGGATACTTTTTATCCCGTTCGACCGCGTTCCAATTTTTATGATATTTTAATTTTTGGATTTCTCTTAGTCCGGAATAGGTAAGTATTAAAACATATAATTAAAATGTGAGAAAGAAAGATTTTTTCTTTTTATATCTATTTAAAACGTACCTAGCGACGAACCCGAGCGAAGCGAGGGTGAGCCGCTAGTAATATAATAAGAACAGTAAATAGAGTTTCATATTTCTCTTTGCTTACTATACCTATCTATCATATAAAATGTCGCTGTAAAAATAACAACTAAGTACTTTGTTGGAGTTTTATTCGAACTATTACTTGATGTATATATTGTAATGAAAGCTATGATTTTATGGGTGCGAAAAAAATTATACCTCAAAAAAAATAAAACTTTCAGTTTTCTAGTCTAACACAGTAATGAAGTAGTTATAAGACCACTGAAATTACATTGTTTTTTCAGTATAAACGAAAACAACTAACTTTAAACACACAGCAACAACAAATACATTAAACATCGTGTATGGCCGAGAAGATAACAGCGGTTAACTAAGTAAATACACCCGCCCAATTAATTCAGGGTCCATTGGTCATAATGTTTGTTTTTCTGTAACTTTGTATAATCCTTAAATTAGAGGTTAATACATTGTAAGGTATTTGTTATAGAATTTAGTTTTTATAAGTTACTATCGACCCACGCTGCTTTGATTGAGTGGAGTAACAGAAATGTATCATATACTATAGATATATTTATATTCTTACGTACCCTTTACGTTATTTTCAAACTAATAAAATCATAAATTATCCGTTGACCATATTATCTCGTGGTGCCAACTATATATAGATAGTACCTACTATGATGGAGATATTCCTGGGCATGCACTTTTGTGCATTCACTTTTTGCCATTGGATGTTTAATTTAAGAATGCATACGCTGCAGATACTCTGACAAACAGATTTTTTTCTATATTACACAAAAAGTAAAACATTAAATAAATATTACAAAAGCATTGGCTGCCATGCCGAATATATCAGCTTACATTCGAACTCAGGTTCGATATCACATCTACATTATAGGTTATCACAGACGCGGACACCATTCCACACGCCCTATATTCATATTGAGAAAAAAGCGCAGTTAGGAGTAGAGTTTACTAAAATAGAAATGAATAAATTTACAGTAATATATGTATATAACAATTAAATACAAGAAGTATTTAAGCGCGTGAATATTTTTGCAGATGGTATATAGTGGTTCCGGACTTACGGAACCCAAATGAAAATGAAAAAATGTATATTGACTTAATACAATACGCGTTACAAATAATCGCAAGTGCCCCTGTACTAGGTGTGAACCGTGTTACTGGGTAACTCGGACAGGACATTATTAGATAAATCAATAGTACAAAAACCAAATTAAAATTGAATATATATATATGTAGGTTATATGCATGATCTCACAAAAGGTTTTATTTTCAAGGATATTATAAAAAGTAATATGTTAAGGAATTGTTGTTTCATTATAGTTTCAGTCATGCTTCAATTTGGTCCTAGTCAAAACATAAATGTTATTTTTTTTATTTAGGTTGTTGTAATATATGAACGCTGAAAGATAAGTAGATAGATAATCATTTCTGACATGATTACCACTTGCCTTAGGGTAAAGGAAAACATCCTGAGGAAACCTGCATGTCTGAGAAAACCTGGCAAGTTTTTGAAAGACATGTAAAATCCGCGAACCCGTACTTGACCAGCATAGTGGATTTAGCCTTATCCCCCTCGTATTGAAGGGAGGCCCGTGCCCAGCAGTGGGACGTTAAAAAGGGCTGAACACAGACAAGTATACTGCCTTTGTTTAAATTTAATAATTCTTTGTGATATACGACAGTGTTATTTCGGCGTTTTAATATTTGTTGTGGAGAGAAGTGTAAATTTCTATACCACTTTAATCTACAATTGAGTATGTACATCTGACGAGTAGACAGAATCTTGTAAAAGTTATGTAATTCGAAAGTATATGTTAATATTGACATAAAGAACATCACTTTTAATAACATCCTCTCGGCTCTTCCAAGGCTTATAAGAAGAGTTTTTGCAGCACCGCCCTAAGCTGGTATACAGTACGAGTAGCTCTAAACCGATTGTGTTCTTAAAAATCCACACAAATGTCCTTATCCTATCAATAGCATATTGTATATGTTGACTTCATTTCAGATGATGGTCAATCCAAACTCCAAGATATTTTATGCAAATAGTCTTGGCGATTTAAACATAAAAACATTAAAAAAACCGACTTCCAGGCACTAAATTGTAAATAATACTAAACGGGGTTTTCGTTTAGAATAGATACCTAATCTGATATTTTCGAAGTCGGTGCCAGCTGACAATATTTTAAGATATGAATATCTAATAGGTAAATATGTATTTTACATATCGAAATATATTACATTTGTAACAAAAAAAATCCAAATCGTTTCAGGCGTCTTCAAGTAATCGGTGAACATACATAAAAAAAAGATTCCGACGAATTGATAACCTCCTTTTTGGAGGTCGGTTAAAAAAGTAAAACACTTTTTAGTATTCATATAATTATTATTGTCAATATTATTTATATGATCGATGAAGATGAATGTCATACGTATATCAATTCGAAGTTAATAGTATAGCCCTGATAGTGCATAATATAAATTAAAGAAGCTCAGTAGAATATTATAGGAATCAATATTGAAATGACGGCTTGATTGAAATTACAAAGTAAGATTGATTATACAGTTAATCATTAATTAAAATTTCTTCCTCTGTGGTAATCTGAGATACAGTAACATTATCAATTACATTTCGCGACATCTATATAAATGAAATAACATTAATTTATTTAATTATGTTCGATTGCAAAGACACTTGTGTTGTTATTTCCGTCTTAAAATAAATACTTTGTATAATCTCTATTTTTCTCTACATTATGTATGTACAAATATATGTAAATTAAGTATAAATATTTACATACCGCTTCTGTTCAGTTTGCAATAATATTATGAGAATTTAATGAAATGGAAATGCTTTGATTTGTAAAACAATGCTCATCTTTCAGATCTACCTGTTCCCTAATCGTATAACAAAGGGAAACATATTAAATACTCAGCAATCCTAAAATGCTTTGTAGAGCGTCGAATATAAAAGGGTGTTTTCCTTAACAGTCCAAACGTTAATTCGTGTTTAATTCGACACCTTGTTAATTGTTTCCAACACCCTAGACCGTTTGGTGACCTCCAGGGGGACATGGACATTCAAAGACCACCCGGCACCTAAAACACCCCCCATAAGGGGGTTATTTTAAGAATATTTGCCTTACACCCCCTATGTTTACACGGGTTGTTTGTGGTACCCAGAAAACAATAGTCTCGAAATTCATTGCTCATTTTATTATTGTTGATACACCGTTTTACGGGCAATTCGATTATTGGAACGAGTAATTAAATGATAATACTGGGTATTAATTGGATTTTACCTGGGTAGGTGCGCGATTACACCTAAGTGGTGTGCTATTTATTATAAGGAATTGGAAATGAAAATTAAAATTTGTGAGAACCCAACTTTATAAGCCAGAAAATAATGTGTTAAATATTTATTCATATGATTAAAGATATAAAAAGGACTACCGACAACGTGCTTTTATATTATAGCCTTTATACTCTTTGATAATAAAAATATATAATATATGTAATAGGTACATCTATACCTACCTTGCCCACATTGGTCTCTGTTTTATCTATTTTACATTGTTAATATGCAATAAAGAATACATATATAAATATGTACCTTATGTACTTTATACATGCTTAAACAAGAAAAGAAATAATTATTGATTTATTATATTTTTCTTATGAGATCTAATTAGTATCTACTATTTGCCTCTATACTCCTAAGCGGTCATAACATTATTGTAAACTTGTTGAACACATTCGATTTTCAGGATTCATATAAGATATTAAACCCACAAACTAATTCTAATTAGATATTCTGTTCACAGAAATGGCACGCATGGACAAATCACCGTTATTGGCTAACGGATATAACGCACCACCAACGCACCTGGGCCCCATGGGCTTCATGCACCAACACGCGTTGATGTCACCCGGCATGCCGCACCCCGGCGTGCCCAGACCTGATGGATCCATCATCAAAGGCCAACCGATGCACAACATGGAAGCCCTGGCGAGGTATGTAGAATAAATAAATTCATATTCTATATAAAACGCTAATTAGCTTCTACACGCTCGTTGCTGTTATTTTGTATAAAATTATCGTAAACAACGAATTCTGGCGATATAGTTCGATTTTGATTAAATATAAATATAGTAGGAAATAAAATGATGAATTTCAGGCTCCATTAAAATAAAATGTCAGTAAACAAATAAATTGTTATAATGCAAGCTTACAGCGGATATCGGTTGCGTAAAACTGTGGCTTCCCAAACACGGCATGAGCTGGTATTAATTCAGTATACCATTTTACCCACACGATGTACCATGGAGGTAACGTTTGTATATTATGGTCATTTGGTCTATTTTAGTTTAATGATGGTTGAAAAGTAACGACAGACACGTCTATATTTTATAAGGTATGAGAAAGTTGCCATGACATGGTTTGGTGAAAAAAGGTATATCTATTTGTATTTTATATGTTAGCTTTAAGATATTCTAAACGACCTTGAATGAAGAATCTAAAACACATTACCTATACGAAACGGTAAATTTTAAAATACATCATAATCTTTTAATTTATTATGAAAGGCTTCTAAAATCACTTTCAGAAGTATAGCGTCAAAACAATTTTAACTAATTGACTCATAATAAGCTTATATACATAAGTAAATGAAAAAGAAGCCTGTAAGCGGGTCAAAAGTGATACAGGTTAAATGACTGAGTTAATCCAATAAGAAAAGTACAAACACTGAGTGCCCTCACTTCCGCCCGAAGACCCGCAGTGCTCACTTGACTTGTCTTACCCCGCGCTTACCCAAGCTTACCCCACTGTCTTACTGCCACCCATGTGATTCAACGACAGTACAATAACCTACAAACGTATAACGGTGCCTTACATATGAAGTGTTAGTAACGATTCGTGTTACACACTAACATTACGAATATTTAGTCAAAAATAAAAAATATTATTTGAATTGTACGCAACACAATAAAAACTTTGTATTGTTACACAACACGAAATACAAGATATTGTTAAACTAAAAATGTTTAACAATATCTTGAGTGGGACCTATCTTAAAACAACAATAGGGTATGCGTCTAAGTAGAATTTTTGATTATATTGCAGAGACGAAAGTATGCTTCAGTATAAGATGGAAACCAATTAACCCTTAACAGAACCCTTTAACTATTGTAAGAAGTATTCCCTCGAAGAAAAGTTTAATGAAAACAAAGTGCTAAAGTAATTGAGAAACAATTTCGACGATCACGCATGAGTTGTTACGACACAAATATAAGCGATTGTTTTAAAAACATAATTAATTTCTTCGACCCTCGCTAACTCTAACGGAACATTTAATATTGAGTGTTCATAATTATTCCTTTTACATTTAAACCCTTTTTTTAATTCACCAACTTTCATTTTTAAGTACTTGAGAACAATTTGTTGCAAGTTTTGTCTTTGTAGAGGACTTGTTAAATTGGGATTGAAACGAACCTCTTTGTGGAAAAAAAAATATTTCAATTTCTGTTATCACGCTGAAAACCCGTCATCGTTTTAAATCTTAATTGCCTTTATTTTCTAATTTTAGTATTCCATTTTCTGCATCCTTTTTTCATTTTTTCTTATTTTATTTTCTTTGTCTACAGATCTGGTATTTGGGAGAATTGTAGAGCAGCGTACGAGGACATCGTAAAACATCTTGAAAGGTAAGAGATAGGACTATCTTTTCTTTTTGCCTATTTTTTAAATTATTATCATATTCATAACAATCAGTTTATCATTTTTATTTACGTATTTCATTTTGTTTTTATAATCATTCATCTATTTCAATAAAGTAGTTTAAAGAACGATATTGAAATAAACTCGGATTGTTTCAAATTAAACCGCTCACAGATATCATTGGGGAGTGTGAAATTAGAGGAGACAATTAGGTCTGTAGATCGGGTGTATTTTTAACAAATGACCACTCGACCGGCGTCGGCGTGCGGGCCGCGAGCAATTCATCAAACTCATTCTGAGCTAATCTCGATGCGAGGAAAATGCGCCTCTCATGTAAATTGGGCCGATTTGAGGGCCAATGGTTAGGGGAAATGCTTTTCTTTTCATGTTTAATGGATGGTGATTGATCGGGGATCGAACGATATTCGCGGTTTTGACTTCATTTTCAAGTGCTTCTATTAAGCGTATCGACTTCGACTTCATAATCCAATGGATAAAGGGATTTTATTATAATAATTTTATAAAATGACAAAAATTTGCTAACCTTAAAAACATTCGTTTCAAGATTAGTTTTTTTTTTCAAATTAATAATTTATCAATAAACATTAATCAGAACAGCTATGAGTAGTTAATAATTTTAACTAAAATAGTCAAAAATTTATTCTTTTAAATCAATCCTGCGGTTTTTTAGGTTTTTCCTTAAATTTGAAGCTTACTCTACATTCTACTAATTAATCCTCTAGATTTGAAAATAAAACGTATCCACGGTTCGCGTTGGGTAGAATTACAGTCGGACAGCCAGCCTTGTACCGATGTGTCACTGTCAGCCAATCGCCCGCCACGGGTTGGATTAAGGCTCTTTTTAAAGAAATTACTCTGTAATTTTTGGGATAAAACCTATCCATTTGCTTTCTTTTATAAATGTACCTAAATAGATGAAATATTAACTGCCTTTTTATCTGTTTACTACTTTGGTCATTATTGTATGCTGTATAAAATATTGATAATGAGAATAAATTTACTATTTCAATATAAAAATTATCACTTAGACGTCATTCATATTAATACTTATTGATTGATATTAATTTTAATATGGTACACGACACATGTATTGCAATTTGGGACGATGTACGATTGGCGTATAAATAAAACATGGATATGATGAACATGGTATAATTCCGATATTGACATTTATAACAAGCAGCGGTGTATATTAATATCGAGGTCCTTGGTTTCTTCGCTCGGCTCGTTTAATTCGCGCAGGCGCCGACCGGTTTTCCGTCCTAAGTCCAATTAATTGACAGGATTATCTCTGATTTAATATAATTTGTAGGTACTGTTTGTTTTGCATCCTTCGAGTGCACTCAGCCGTGATTATTAGAAGCTTTAATAATGATTATTTTGCTTTTCTTATTAATTGTTGATGGTGATTAAAAGGGCGTGTAATCAAGTCGTAAATAAATTTTATCGTTGACTAAAGCTGTATTTTATCGATAATATTGTTATTATTAGCTACAATTATAGTAAAATTATTTATACATATGAATAATTCTAATAGTGAATTAAATGATTTCAATTAATGCAGCTGTTGCGAATTGAAATTGTGCAGTTAATGTAAAAACTGAACTCGTCTCAATCCGCAGTAAATCAAACGACTCAATTAACAGTCAACAAATCGTTGGGATCTATGCATTCGTCCGGTTTAATTCCGTTTCGGATCGAATTAGCTGCGATTAATCGGCGTACGGCGGGTTAAGCCGGGAGAGCCGGGTGAGCCGAGGGCATACGCTGCACACATCGCTCTGACGTCGATCGTTATTCATCGTGCCCCTTGCTACGGAAAGATAGCGTTGTTTGTCCACCCTTAATTCTAGATTTTAAACGATATATGACTGAAAGCCTAACTTAGATATACAGTTAATTGAAAGCACCAGAGCTTCTCACTTTACAACTCAAATATCTCGATCAAAATTTGAGCTAAACATATCCGTATATTTTTATAAATGATTATTATTCGTTTTGTACTGGTTTACTTTTTGTTTCGTTTAATTTGTAACAGCTATTAAGTTTATATGAATGTATAAAACATTTTTTTGAAGTTTCATAAAGCTTATGAATAGGTTTTTAATAATATAGGTATTAATGCTTTAAACACATTACTGGCATTTTTTGTTAAATTTTCTTAGCTGTTACTTAAAATAATTATTAGGAAAAAGAAATCGTAAGGAAGTTATATCGTCCATTCATTTTAAAACCGCGATACGTATCGTTCTGAGTTATACCAGAATGGCATATTAATTTAAAATTATATTTAATCGGCGTGTAGTAGAAAACGTCAAAAATCGCAGCGGTAACATTTGCGTGATTGAATCCTCCACCATTAATTTCAACGAAGATCAAACGAAGACCGAGGGTGATATTTATCAAGGATATTGCGAATTATTTTAATCAAATCAAATTCCCTTCGTTGTAAACAAATGCTTTTGATTAATGAGACGCGCGACAGAGCTTCGTCGTTGTGATAAAACACCCGACGAAAAGACAAAATTAATGGTCATAAAATGAACTCTTGTAGCTAGATAAAGATGCTGAATGCGTATGATCGCTTATAATTTTTCTTCGCTTCTATTTGAAGGATGATCGTAAGATCACATCTGATGACTATACATTTTGTGTCACGATATTTCTTAAGAGCGTTTTCACACTATTGTGCTCAACTTCTAGTAACATTATTTAGATTATCATGGCTTAAAGTCATTAATAAAATCTACTTTTGATTTTCAGTCGGCTAATATACGTAGAGCGTTGCGTAAAGGGTGCCGAGTCACGGTAGTCGGCCCTCTAAATACCTTCCGAGTTTGTCACCGATGCGGTCGTACTGGCATTTTATGTAGCTCTTTGTACTTTGCCCTTTTATGGCTAAAACTATTCGGATAGTTCCGTTGGTGTACCAAACTATTTATTGCGTTTGCTTTGATATTTGTACCCGTTTGATAATCATCTGCATATAAATCACAATTTTCAGAATGTATCCCAGCATACTCATATAGAAGTACTGCCCAGTAATGCTTTCATCTAAGTTTAAGGTTTATTGTTATAATTTTATCATGTCTAGGGTTTATATTAAGAATTAAATGTATTATAGTTACATATGTAGGTACCTATTGCAACAAGTTTATGCCGAATATATAATAGTAATATTATGCAAATTTGAACCAAACATGAAGAAATCATAAACATTTTATAACCGGGGAGCGTCTAACAATGTTATAGCGAAGTTGCAACGTCAGCCTATATTAATCTGGATCCGGCGCTTGACAGCACAAGTCAAATTTCTCATCAAAAATAAGAATTAATGACGAACAGCATTAATCATTAGCTCGCAAACAGCACGAGGTGTCCGTATCCCATTATTTTGCATTACTAATGATATGTACACAGCGATAAGGGATGCTTTATAAAAACTCCAAGGTATCAACTTACTTCATCGATTTTGTGTGAGCTCGCTAATGTTTCATTATTTTGTGATGGCTCAAAATGTTTTTTACTCTAGTAATTTAAATATATGCCTTGCTACAGTGCTTCTTATAAAAGTAGTGGAATACAGCCCATCGGAATGCTAATTCGAAATTAGGATTAATTTTATGCGGTAGCGCGTACGGAGTGAAAAAGATTTATTATTCCCTTCATTATTCGGGTGTCACTCTGAAAATGGATTTGTAAATAGACTGTTGTTTTCAAGTAACAGTAAATTATTAGTTTATTAATAAAAACACCCATTATTTCTGTTTAGTTCCGAAAATAAATTAAGTATATCACATATCTAACGAAGTGCGACATGATGATCTACCGGCAATCAATTAGCCGCCTTCATTCAATAATTTTTAATAAGTTTGCAACACTAATTACTTCCTCCCCAAAAGGCGTAACCGTTCTATTTCTAGAAGTTGGCCGAGCTGTCAATGACAGAAGATGTCACTTTTCTTTTAATTACGCAGCGGCCTCATTCCTTCGCGCCCTATTAGTACGCATCAATCAATGTTGCCAATACCTATTTTTTACCCTGGATCTCAGATGTTTTTCCCTTAGTGCGTTTTTGTTTACGAAGATTTTTCAAGTGGGGAATAATTTGATGAGGTCCGCCACCCGACTGTGTTGGAAGCGGACAAATCTCATTTGTCATCGTCTTGTCATTTCTGCGTTTCTTTTGAATTGTTGTATCGCCAAAGTAATTACGTAATTTTTAGTCGACTTTTTCGATTGAGCTCGTGAATGAACTTTGTGTCAGACAGAGTAACATTGTATCGCTGAGGCTGATTATGTTTATTCCATACTAATTATTGTAAGTCAGTTTTATGCGCAAAAACTTTATAACTCGAATTATTTATTGCAAGAAATATAAAACCAATAATAAGAAAATGATAACTTCTAACGGCAAATAAATTACGATGAACTTCGATTCTTGTGAAGTACCTATACTAATTAGCGTTTGTATACACTTTTAGGAGGTACAAGTATCTATTCCTGAGATTGTACTTTTATTGATGATTTTATCCACCAGGATATCTTAAGGAAATTTAAAATATAAACTGCATTGTATAAATTTTTGCATCCAATTTCGGTATTTAATAAAAATTTGTTAATAATTTATTTCTACAGGTAGATATAATTTTTTACTTAAAGAAGTAGACAATATATGTATGTATTGTATTTCTAAACTAGCGATAGGTTTTAATTTTTTTTGAGTGAAACCCTAATTCTTCCTTAAAGTCCTGTCAAAATCAGTTCAGCTGTTTCAGAGATTATCCGGAACAAACAGACAGACAGACAAAAATTTTAAAAATTGTGTTTTTCTTATTAATACCGTATATAATTTCATATGCATTTTGTAAAACGCTGTTATTTTGACATTGCAAACAGACACTTCAATTTTATTTATCTGTATAGAAGATTGTTAAGAATAGTTGATAGCTTATATTATGCGCAT